TTACATATGCCAAATACCCACACTAGTGCAAGACGCTACTTGCATCCACCCCGGATCACCGTCTTGTATGACGCTACATACTCAGGCTTACCGTCAAGATGGAACAACACATGCATATTAAAAGCCATTACACATAAAGCTCAACAGCATTTCGAATATTCAAAGCATGTAACACCGCATGCATAAAACCACAACCCCATGGGACATGGTGGAACCACAACATGGCTAAACCGAGGACACGAAAGCTTACCTTGCAAGCTAACACCCAAAGCCAAGAGTCCACAGCTCAAAGTCCAAACACAACAGATTCACAATCTGTTATGGACCAATACTATATCAATAATAATGCACCACAAGCATATAATATTAAGACAACGCCTTTCCTTTACGTTTTACGTCTTAAGGCTCCATACCAAGCCATAAGCCCTTAATCATACGATTCTGACTTAGTTCATTAATTACAGAAGTTCAACTTCATCAATCTAGGGTCCACAAACCCCCCAATAGCCTACTGTACACACAGCACAGCTACTGTTCTACGAAATCCCACAATATCCGAATATTCCTCGGGACCATATCCGGATATGCTATATCCGGATATTTCACTGTACATATCCGGATATACAATATCCGGATATCCAGATTCCCATATCCGGATATCTAATATCCGAATGTCCAAATTCCATATCCGGATATCACATATCCGGATACTTCTCGGGCACATATCCGGATATTTCACGACAGAATGCAGAAACTGCATTTCGTGAAGATATCCTTCCAAGGTTGGGTTTTTACCGATTTTAAACACCTAAACATGCATTTCTAGGTGTGTTTGACCAACCCCAACATTAAGTTATCATCTTTTAACCTTTACATGCATCAAGGTTCCATTTTTAAGCTCAAAGACTCATGATCAAAGGTGATGAAGCTTACCAAAGCTCAAACTCAGAAAAAGGGTGCTCTTGGAGCTCACACAACAACTTCAAGGTTCTGACTTCAAGGGTGCACGAAAATACCACCCAAGCAATGATCTTTCTTCACAAAGATTGCTCCTTGGAGCTCCAACAACCCAAGGAAGAAGCTCACACACTCACACAAGGCAGTTCAGACCCCAAACAGCCTCCACACAGTCACCACACTCAGGAAAAGAGCTCCTTTCACACTCACAATGATCTCTCCCACTCACCCAAGGTACAAAGTGAAGAGAAAATGAAGAAGAGAGGTCACAAGGCTCACAAAATGGTGGTGAAGCAATGGAACAGTGGAACCAACAGCTGACCAGTCCCACACTCACGTAGAGAAACTGTTTTCTAGGGTTTTGTGCCTTAATAAGGGTATTTATAGCCACTTACCCAATTAACACACAGTATTAACTTTAATTGCTACGCTTAGCATTTTAATCCAAAACTTTGGAATCTGAAACTACACATTTTTCCAAGAATTATCATATTTTTCTTATAATTTTTTGAGCACCTTTTCGATACGCGCTTTTCAAAGCCAGTACCGGTTTCTAGCACCAGTTCTCATTATTTGGACTTGAAACTCGTTTTACAAGTCCTACATATTATTCTAGTAATTATCATGCACTTATTATAATTTTCTGGGATACTTTTTCGGCACGCATTTATACTGACTAGCAGAACCGGTATCTGCACTTTTCTTCCGAAAAGCGACTTTCAGCATTATTAGTCACTTACTATAATTATTAAAGCCTCGTAATAATTATTAGGGTCAATTATGGAATCATTTCCTATTTTCTCAGAATTTATTAATTAAAATCTTTAATTAACGGTGCGGGTTCTTACAGCTGACACATTTAAACACATGCTTAACCTTTTAAGACCAAAGCTCGGCTCAGCTCGGCTCAGCTCGTTAACACCCCTACTCACACGCCTAATTGTCAAGGAGTTTAAGTGAGAATGACATAAGTCATTAATGATACTTCAACATGTCCACAAAATGAAAAATTGTGAATGACTCGCACATTCATCTCTCTATTAATAAAAGAAGTGAATGACATAAGTCGTTAATGATACTTCAATATGTCCGCAAAATGAAAGATTGTGAATGACTCTCGTATTCACCTCTCTAACAATAAAAAAATGAATCACGATAGAAAAATTCATTTGGTTCCCCTCAAGCTATACTATAGTGAAAAACCACTTTTACCTTCCCGCTTTTTACAAGTTGAAATATTGGATGCTTTCTAGGTGAAAAGTTGCGCCAACAATAAGAGGCTTAAGAGACCAGAGGAGAGGGGTAAAACACCTTGCCTTTAGAGGCAATACTAAGTGTAAAACTCTCTTCATGTTTCTTTATGATTGAATGATGTGAATGATGTGAATGTGAAGTTGGTGTAATAATTGTATATAACGTCATGTTATTTGTGAATGTATGCAGAGGCGGATGGAGGTTGAAGAGAAAGGGGGCAAGTGACCACCCTTAAATTATGATGCAAAAATACAAAAATACTCTTTTCTTAAAATTCAAATTTTTTCAATTTAATTTCAGAGTAGGATATTGTAACAACTAATTAGGGTTACTACAATTAGGGTTATTACCAATCAATTTCACCGTTAGATCGATTATGTTGATCCAACAGTTATATTTATTTTCAACTTTGTATGGTTATGATTCCCCATATTTAATACTTTATATTTATTTTCACCTTTGTCTGATTATGATTTTTCATATTTAATACTTTTACATTAAATATGAGGATCATAACTGTACAAAGATTTTTCATATTTAGTAACCCTAATTGGTTGTTATGATATCTTACTCCTTTAATTTTCCTCATTCCATTTTATTTTTCCGTGAATTTCTTTTCTCCTCCATCTTTATTATCCAAACCTAACAGCTGGGAGCTTTATTCGACACCCATTATTTGCATCTACGTATTGATTCATCTCTTCTCAAACCTCAATCTCCGTTATTAGAAGTTGGAACATTTGCTTCTTCCTCCATCATTGGTCTAGTTGAGTCGCAATCTGTACAGATCTAGATCTAAACCAGACTCAGCCAGTCGGCAGCTGCTCGCAAGTAGCATTTCAGACAGACCTTATTGAGTGGTGCCCACCCTTCATTAATTTCTTGGATCCGCCACTGAATGTATGGGAGTTTAATTACTATTGTAACCTGCTTAGTCTAAAACTTTATCTACTAAATTTATATACATAACATGGGACAATCTTGAAATAAAATAAGGAGCTTGAAGTTTACTATAATGTATGGGAGTTTAATTACTATTGTAGCCTGCTTAGTCTAAAACTTTATCTACTAAATTTATATACATAACATGGACCAATCTTGAAATAAAATAAGGAGCTTGAAGTTTACTATGTAATGACTCTTGTAAGTCATTATAAGTAATAGCTAAAGGCAAAAGTTTGATATGAATGTTATGATGATGTTAAGAATCTTGGAGATTGTATATAAGTTGGTGACATATATTATTAGAGTACTAACATGGAATGGTGCTCATTGTAACACCATGTGTGCACCCGGTGTATTATCATCAATTATGGTATTAAACACAACTATATTTCATTTAATATAAGCAAAAACACGAATAAACTTTTTACTTTTTCTCTATAAATTAGTTTTGAATCCTTTTACGTTTATTCCCTTTATTATTATTCATACATTAGCTAGGAATGTCCTACATTAGCCTACAATCACCTAAAATTTGGCTCACATAGGCCAAGAGGGGTAAAACTCAATACTAAAGTGCAGGGTCAGCGTGCTTTAGCGCGCTCCTGCATGTGGAATTTTCTCTATTTAGCACACTGTAGTGCATTGTAGCGTGCACAACAAGTATTCTATCACTCAATTAGCACATTGTAGCGTGCTCCCAACGCGCTTTAGCTTGCTAAGAGAGTTGTTAACTATCTTAGATTCTCAAAGCGCATTTTAGCGCCCTCGAACACGTTGTAGCGCACTCGAGTGAGCATTTTCTAATTCCCCTAGCATGCTTTAGCACGCTCAACCAGAAGAAACACGTTTTAATACTCCCTATATCGCTTTAGCGCACTCACCAATGGTTGGGTATTGCCTCAGACATTTCGAGCGCATTTTAGTGCGCTCTCCAGGACATGGAAAGATTCATTTGAGGAGTTGGACCTCCCTTTTCAAGCCATAAACCTTCTCAAGGACACCTAATTGATCACTATCTCAATATTTCCCATGATTTTGCATCAAGTATAATAATTCCATTGTTCATGACATAATTTTGTTAATCTACCCTTCATTACACATTCACATTGGAATTTATATAGCCATAGTCATTGTTTACATCAAATTTGGTCTCATGCCACATATATGCTACCATGACCAATTTCGCAATTCCAACAATCAAACATCTATACAAGCATTATATACTTGGTCCAATATTCTTTGGCTTAAAGCCATCATTTATATAACCAAACCATAGCTTGTCATTACTTGTGCCAAAAAGTCAATATTAATAACACATTTGGCTTTGTTTTACATGTATAACAATATAACCAAATTTTACAATCATGAACTATGGTATCAAAATACACATGTCTTCTCCCGGGTAATAACTTGAGCCAATATATACATGTATATCAATATAACCAATATATATATATATATATATATATATATATATATATATATATATATATATATATATATATATATAGTATCAAAGCCATTCCATTGGCCAACTTGCCAAACACAAGAATGCTCATATAGTACTTCCAAGAAAAGTCCCTACTGCTCATTCTCTCAAATTTTAACCACAAGGAATTTTCTCCACGTAACTCTAGTTCCAAGGGAAGTTCATATCTCATATTCTCCTTGCCAAGGAACCTCTGTCATGTATTCATACAAGCATATATTATCATATTATGCATCACTACTCAATTTAACACACAATGCATATCAATCCATAATACAATCACTCCTAATGGAGTATAGTGGAACAACAAAGGGAATTAACCACAAGGTCCAAAAGTTTACCTTTCAAGCTATATCCTCTAACTTCTCTTGACCCAAGTAATTCAACACCAACAAAATCACCAACACCACCTATTTCAAGTGAGTGGTTCCAATCAATACATATGTATATACATTAAAATCAATTCACATCCTTAAATATTAACAAAACATAGGTTTAGTAGCTTACCACAATTTCTTGAAATCTTAAAGACCAAAACCATAGTCCAATGGATGTTCAAATCTACTTTAAACACAACCCATAACACTCCTACACATCATAAATATATACCAACTTCCATCAAACTCATCATTCCACATTATAATCCAAAAACCCCTCATTTCCTTGAAACCCTAGGAAATGAAACTCTTAGGAATTCAAAGAAAATTAACTTCCTTACCTGAAAGCTTCACTTTAGGAGATTCCCAAGCTTCCAAGAGCTCAAAAACTCCTCTCCTTGGCTACCCACTAGTGACCTTTGAAAATGGGTTTTTAAGAAGAGAAAATGTTGGGTTCCTTTCTTGATTTCTAGCTTGGGATGAGTAGAGGGTTTAGTAACTATGAAGGAATTAAAGAAGGTGAGTTGAGTTCTTAGCTTAGTGAGGTTCCTTGAATAAGCAAGAATGAAAGCTACAATGGAGGTAGGAAGAGAGGGGAGGGGCGACGGTGGAGAGGGAAAACAAGAAAGAGATAGGTGAGAGACAGAAAGGGTTTAGATATTTTTTTAAATGTCTAACCCACACAATTACCATGAAGCCCATATCTTTATTTCCTTTTTACAACACATACCCTCATCCGTTAGATTTAATTAGAATGAGTTGATTCCTAATAGGGTGTGTCATGCACTTGATTCATTTTGGGTCTCACACACTTTGTGTATTTTACCTCATTAGTTCCACACTTTAATTATTTACACATTTGCCCTAAAAGGTGATTTAACTCTAAATTAGACTTTCCATCTAATTAATCCTCTAATTATATATTAATCTCTAATTACTGTAGTTTAATTATCGGGGTTATTACATTCATGATATCTGTTGTTGTGCTATAGTCATATAGGAAGAAGAGAAGTGTATTTATATGTAAGATATATGAAAACGTTAAGAATTATGAGGATTAACACTAACCTTCCATATTCATCTATGTTGTAAAAAACATTAATTTTGCAAAATGATTTTTGCATAGAAAAAAGTATGAATTATATGTTCAAGTAAATCTAGAGAATGGAAAATAATAGGTGAATTACTCTACTTTTGCAGTTTTGAAGAAGCTTAAGAGATATTTCGATGCCCCTCTCTAGGTTTGGCAATTCCCTACATGACCCATTAGCACGATACAATATCTACGTGTTTGGGTTGACCCACACACATTCACTTTGTGTTCACGTTGACAAAAAATGGGTCAACCTGCAAACATTATACTTGTAAAACCTTAGGGTACATAAAAGGTAAAAGTTTGAGTTTTAATGAATAACAAAGCACAATTAGCTATAGAAGATACGAAGCAAAAGTGCAATAAGTTGCAATAAGACCCAAATGATATTACAAAATCAGGCAACATGCAAAAAACCAAGAAAAAATCATCCACAATGTCCAAGCTTAAAAAAATAAAAAAAGGCCAAAAGGTGCAATTGTTGAAAATTAATGACTTATAGCCAAGATGAAGACTTATATAATTAGATTACATTGTCTTAGAATTAGAACATTCCAAACTCAGAGATTAACATTCCAAGTAGAACATACAAATTTAGAACATCAATTAATCTATACATGTATACAGTCATACAGAGATTAACATTCCAAACTCAGCATTCAGAAGCATCAATTTCTCGTAAGGTAGTCAAGTCAAAATTTAATTAGTCATTCATTAATCTAATGCTTTTGTGACTAAAACATAAGATGATCATTCAAGTAAATCAAAGCAAAATTATAGTCGTTATCAATTGGTTTGAAACGATCTACAATATCTTCAAGCATTATATGCAAGTATTATTTCATATACCATTATCTGATTCATTTGTTCCAACATAGTTCTTTTATTACTTAACAAGGGTTGTCCATTCAAATTATAAATTCTACCATATGTTTGTAGGTTTAAAACAGAACGACCTATACAAACTTCATATTAACATACAAAATCAAGCATTTACAATCTCATTACATCTCAACACAAATAGTGATTAAGCATCCGTAACACATTACGAAGGTCTCCTGATAGCAACGAACCATGGCTCAGTTTTCTAGATTAGGAACAATATCTACATTGCTTGTATTTACAATTTGCAGCCCACAAAGGGGTGAGGATAATTCCCAATAAAACCACAAAAAAATTTATCACTATTCCAAGTTTTTAGAGTAAGTACAATGTTGAACCTTTCTCAAAAGTTTCATTTCCTAATCCTATACCAAATTAGCCAAAAGTAACATGGGGAGGATTATATTTACAAATTTTTTATTTATAAACTCTTACAAACTACACTATGTACACTCAGAAATACATTAGGTTACACTATGTACTTTTGGGAGTAAGTAGTGTAATTTGCAAAAATTTATAAACAAAATTTGTAAACGAATCCTTCCCCAAATAACATTTATAACCATGCATACTAAACCGTATGAAATTCTCAATATCAACCAAGGCATAAACTCATATGTTGCACAAAATAATCACTTTTCACCATCATTCGTATGTGTTTGGGGGTCAACTCTCTCAAACATCGTCACATGTCAATAACAATCATAGCAATTCATAAACCAATCAGCACATCAAATCATTGACAATCTTTAGAATTTTACATAACTTTCTTATGATCACCAAATTATTATGCTCACAAGTTTAGAGTCCTCGGTTAATGACGTCAAAGAACCAAATAACAATATCATCTGGTCATAATTTGGTTCTATCATAATCATAAGCAATTTCATATGTAGTCAAATTCTAAAACATTCACATAACATGTTCATTATGAATGTCAAGAAGGAAACATGAGGTTTGTTCGTGAAAACAACATTCATTTTCATCTCTAAAAATGAATGGTCATTCCCACCCAATGTGCGTCCTATTATGTTATTTTGATAAAAAAAAATTAGTTTTGCATTATTTTTGATAATTTTTTTAAAAAACTTGCATTAAAATGATTAAAATACCGAATTTAATTGTGAATTTCTAAATGGAGGAATCATGATATAAAGTAGTGAAGGCTAAAGTTGTGTGGGTAAACTCTCAATATATATATATATATATATATATATATATTTATAGGGCTTATCGTTTCTCAAGTTACTTGAGATAACTGTATCTCCGGCTACTAAATCATAACCGTACAAAGATAGATCAACGGTTATAAAGAAAGAGAGAGAGAAATATTCTCTTAACCATTCAAAGGTGAATCAATTAACATAAGAAAATAAATAAATAAAATGACGTAATTTTAGAGTAACCGGAGATAAAAATATCTCAAACAACTTGATAAATATTTGTCTTATATATATAATTCTTCAAATAAGGTATCCGTGGATGAAATAGAAGGAATACCAATTTAATACCAAGGGCCCGTTTGGGTGGCCTTTTTTTTCTTCCAAAGTTACTTTTTTTCGAGAAAAAAAAGCACTTCTCATTTTAAGTTCGTTTGGATGTCTGCTTTTAAAAAAAGCAGAAGTCATAAAAAAAGCTAAAAATTTACTTTTTTTATAAGCTAAAAATTTAACTTCCAAAAGAAAAATAGAAGTCAAAAGCCAAATATTTTTATAAAAATATAAATAGCTTCAACTTTTATAAAAAAATACATTTAAAATAAGGAAGAGATAACAATTACTTTTTCTGGAAGGTGAAACAAACGTACTCGGTCCGTTTGGATGGGCTTTTGAGAAAATGTCTTTTTTAAAAGAACTTTTTGTAAAAGTTAAAGTTATTTTATGTTTGGATGCAATATTAAAAAAGTGCTCTTTAGTAAAAATATCATTTAGATATTCAAATAAAAAGCATTTTTTAACTATAAAATTACCGTTGTACCCTTTCATCTCTTTTTGGTATTCTACATCTTTAGGGAGGAACCCACTAGTCGCCGGCATAGGAGGCCAGTCACTGGTGGCTTCCCTCTCCAACTCACCGGCAACTCCAGTTGCAGCTACTCTAGTTTCATCACCGGTCCAAGCCCCTTCCAAACCAACATCACCAGCTCCTATTGCTTCTCCCAAATTAGCTCCTCCAGCTTCATCTCCGACCAATGCTGCAGCGCATGCTCCGGCGACAACACCTCTGGCATCGTCTCCATCGGCGGCGACACCAGTGAGCTCGCCACCAGCACAAGTTCCAGTCAGTTCTCCACTTGCTAAATCTCCCCCTGCACCCGCGCCAACAACTTCTCTAGTGAGTGCTCCTCCAGCACCCGTGGTGGTGCCAACCACCCCTGAGGCTCCAGCTCCGAGAAAATCAAAGAAGAGCAAGAAGGGTAAGAAACACGGTGCACCAGCAGCATCACCATTGCAAGGAGGGGTCACCATGGTCATTCAGTTGATTTTGACTTCTACTTTTCTCAAAAATTAAAAATTTTAGCTTTTGGAAAAAGTTGAATTTTAGCTTTTCATTTACTTTTAATTTTTCTTAGGTCAACATCCAAATAATCAAATAACTCTAAAAGAACTTTTTTTTTTTTAAAAAAAAGCAGCTTCTTCGAAAGTAGAAGCCAATCCAAACGAATACTAAGTCTTCAACTCACTTAGAATTTAGTTTGCAACTAGGTGCAGGATAATTCTAAATATTGCTTTTCTGCCCCAAACTAATTTTTTATTTGTTTATACACTATTTTTTTAACCCAAAAATCCACACGTAACTTGACCTATGACTTGTATTAAAAAAAAACTTGACCTATGACAAGTTAGGTGTTATAACTTTGAGAATTTTTTTTTTGAAAATCTGTAACTTTGAACTTCCATATCACGTTGTTCCACTCAAAAACAAAAGTAGAAACAAATAATGTATCCCTAAAGTACAACAAAGAATTTTTTTTTCACACGAGAAGTTCGAGATCCAACTTGAAAATGAGTAAGACATAAATAAATATAAAAGTGCGAGACCCTTGAAATTATCTTATTTTGAGCACAAGCTTATCTAATGTAATAACTAAGATATCAAAATCGTGGAAGTGTGAAGGCTAGCCAAACTAAATAATTTGACTAAACATGTGGATTGACTAATAAAATTGAACTAAAAAATTCCACACACAAAAATTTGAACTAAAAAATATTTTGGTTTGACCGAATTCAACTCCATGATGGTAATAGGCCAAGTTTGTTCACAAGCATTAAAAGAATTTAAATTATCAATTTTACCTTTGTAAAGCATATCTAAATATTATTTTAAAATAAATATCGATATATTTTTAGTACTCAGAATATACTTCATTTTACTATTTTTACATTC